AATTAGCAAATGAACAAAGATTGGCATTTTTCCTTTATCAGCAGACTTTGGGATACACTGCTTATGTTTTTAGGATCATTTCATCGTGTTCGTATCCGTCCATTATGTTTGACATTATTGTTAGGTTGCCCTGCTCTCACTTGCGAATAGACGGAAGTGCTTGTAACGGAAACTTATAGTACTGCCTGGGTGGTCAGGATGGAAACGGCTAATGAATGGTTCATTTACAGCTGAGCATGAACTTGTTTGTTTTTGGCCTTTTTCAACAAGCAAATAGACTAGCTGACAGAGAAACTTTTTGGAAAAGAAATGAGTTTTTTGCATTATTCATTTGCCTAGAAGAATTTGTTGACTGATTAAATGATTTAACAATTTCATAGCCAAAAACCAATTTTCTCGATTTAAAAGGAACGGCGATAAGCTGAAAAAATATCTTTGCAGTGACTCAAGAAATGGATGCGCTTGAAGTCTGATTTTGAACAGCAATTAATTGAGAAGTGTCAATTGGTACCACAGAATTAGTTTTGCTTACCTGTAGTCGCACGCACTAATACGAAAAGTTCTGCCATGCTGAGGTTTTTCATAAGATATTGGTAGTTAATCGGTATTAAAATTGCCAAAATTAGGTATTGTGACAAGCATTTAACCAATTGTAAGAATAGCTTTGAGTGAACAGTTTGTTGACAAAACAAACAAAACTTGCTTACTTGTTACTTCCTCATTTTTCCGGTTTGTTTCTACTTTTTCCTTTTTTTTGCAGTCATATTAAATTTTTTATCACGGCGAATAATGCAGTTGTATCATCTGGACTGGTTTACCTCAAAAGTACTTTTGACCTTCAGAAACGTAGAGGAAAAATCGAGAGGTTTCATTTTAATTTCTTTCTTGTTTCACACTGCATTTCTACCTTTCACGTGCTTCACTCGTGTTTTTCTTCGTTATTAATCACGTTGTTTAGCTTCAGTTGATTCTTAAACCCATTCAGCAAAACATCGTTAGTCATCATCCATTCGTCAGTTTTCTATTCACATGCCTCTTCACGCAGCGCATTTACTTCCACCTCTTTTCATTCTTCCATTCGTCTTCTGCTTTTTTTTTTTTAAATGAAACTTCCCAGTTGATATGATATAAAAAATTGTATAACTTGGAGTAACGAACAAAGTATCAGTAGTGTGACCTTAGGCATAACTAGTTATAATTAGCCATTTGTTGCAGTTGTTGTTTTTGGACGTGATTTATAAAACAAATTGTATTTTGCTGGAATTTGCTGTATTTTCTGAGTGATTGAATACTTCTGTACTTCTAATAAGTTTTGGGTGCATTAAAGTGGTGGTTTCATAGGAGGCAATAGAAGGCGTGTGAGATGGATAAACTGAATTGTTACCGTTTATTGTTACGTTATTACTGAGTACCTCAATGTCTTCAGATTTCTGGCAGAAGGTTTGGTAACTGGTTTTCAGGCCAACAAACATCTGCTAACAATGGTAAAAGAACTACCAAGCAGGTAGTATTAGTCACGCTGGTTATTCGGGTGTATTAGGTGTTTCGAAATTTGAAAGAATAGTTCTTGAAACATTTGTCAAGGTAAATGTGCACGTTTCTTCTGCCGAGTTTTTTCCTTTTGTTTTTATTACAGCTTTTTAGACCTATTTTTTCGTTTCTGCTTTCTTGTTTATATTTATTTAACTCTGTGAGGCTTTAAGCAAAAAAAAATTTGAATGCTGCGGTCAGTAATAAATTTTTTATTGTTTTAAGGTATTTTAATATTGAGTGCAAATCTGATTTGTTGGGTGTTGACTGCTATGCAATATGACAGTGAAGTTTTCAATACACCATTGCCTTATTATTCCGTTGTTTAAACAAGTGAACTGATTTGAAGCGTGTGATTTTTCGGGTAGTGAATTTTGCGGACAACATATTGCATCGGATTAACATTTCTCATAGGTCATTCATATTTAACTTTAAATTATTGTTTCCCACTCTTTGGTACTGCATGTCGAAAAAAAAAAGAATGAAGAGGAAGATTTATGAGTGTTAGGTTTCAAGTACTTTGCTGTTACCTTTTTTTAACCTTCTTCTGCAGTTAATTAACTTATTGTTTTAATTGATTTGTGGGCATTTGTGTCATTACTTTTTTTGGAGGGAAGAACGAAGAAGAAAAAAAAAGGAGGAAAGGAGTGGAGAATGATTTAATATTTCCTTTATTTCTTGTTTAAACGGTTTTTAACAACATTTTTTACGTGTTAGAGAGTGCAGTTTAAGTTTTCCAAATTTATTTTTGTCGTTATCGTTAATTTTCTTGAATGTTGTGCAATTTTTTAATCTGTAGTTGCGATGGTTACAAAAAGTTTTCTGCAAGTTTAATTTGCTATAAAACTTTTTTCAATACTTTAATAAACGTTTATTTATGAAATTGAAGAATCATTAGTCGTTTTTTTTTTTTAGTTTTTATATATTCAAACTGAAAAAAAAAAATGAAAGGCAATTAGAACTTTTTTTATGATGAATCAATGAATAATGGCAACAAGCACAGAAAATTTGATTAAAAAATCTTTTCTACATTTCTTTTTTTTCCTGCTACAGTTGTTTTGTTGGAAATTTCTAACAATTAGCATAATTATTTTAGCATTTTACACGCGCTGTGTGTAAATTTGTTGACTGGCATCACTAAATTTGCCTAATTATAGTTGTGGTGCCCAATTACTGATCACTGATTATTGTTCAAACAATAAATGATGCTGTTGATGGGATAGTTTTAATGTATGATTTTGTTAAAAAAACTTTGGTGCTATTGATGGTGGTAATCAATGCCTATATTTTGAACCACCTAAACAGAACTATACCTTTAGAGGTATATGCTCTGAGAAGAGTACAGGTGATGACTCTGTTCTGTTTAGGTTCAGTGCTTCAGCTGTTGTCACACTATCTGTTTATTCAGTTTCATATGATGATAATGTTTTCTGAGATTTGCAATTCATCAACAGTTTTATTATTTTTTTCACCAAAAAAGTTGCATTTTTTCAACCAAAGCATCTTCTGTGCAGTGATACTGTTTTCAGTGTCTAATTTCCTGAATGAACAATTCTGCCAGGTTTGTTTTATCAGCTTTTTTAATACTGGACAAACAGCGATTAAATAATTCATTGAGTGGTCGTATAAGCGGTGATAGATGGATTAGGTTTAAAATATTATGTTGTTTTTATTTGTTGCACAATTTGGTCTTCTAAGATTATTAATTTGTTAAGTTCAGATTTTTTTCTCTCTTATTATTTTTTCCTTTTTGTTTACTTTTTTTAATAATCTTATTTGTTATTTTGAGCAGTTTGTTTTGGTTTGTTTGTTCGTATGCTTTTAGTTTTTTTGTCTTTTGTATCATTTGTTGCACCTCTGTGTTATCAGCGAAGCTAGAAGAGAAGTTTTTGCCATAGTTTTCTTCCTGTGGTTGATCAACTTTATGATGAGAAATAAAAAACCCTCCACTAAAAGAAGGAAGTTTTTTTGTTATTTGTCTTGTTCAATTGGGCAAACTTAGGAAAGGTTAGGACTTCATGCTTGTTGAGCTTTGTCTTCTTGTCATACAAAGGATGCATGGAACAAGTTTCATTTGTTCGACTTCTAGGTATCGGGCGGGGACGGTAGGGAGGAACGAAAAAAAGGGGGACAAATGATGGTTATATAAGTCGATTGAGCACGGGTTTGATCACAGTGCGCGGTGGAATTTCAAAATGATGTGGATTCTGTGATTTTTTTTTCTTTCACTTCAAATTTACTTTCATTTTATTTCTTTTTATTGGTTACAAGTTCACAACCTGATTGTCTCTTGGCATCTGTATTTAGGATTCACTTTTTTCTTCTTTTTTTTTTTAATTCACACTTAGTATGCAGAATCGGAGTGCATACTGTAAATTGAACTATTCTTCTAATTTTTCCACTTTTACTTTATCACAAAATTGTATTCAACAGTTTTTTTTCAATTTTGTTTTTTTCTATATTTGCTGCATTGAAAATTTAAACTTTTAGTACGTGTTTTTCAGGATGAAAAAAGGGCTTTTTTTGAGTTTTAATTACATATTGATGAGCGTATTTGCTCGGTAGAAACGTTTTTACAAAAAGACAGGAACATGGAATTTGGTAGTAATGCTATTGCAAGGATTGTTGTTTTTTGGTGATGGGCGGTTTTTGTAGAGTTTGCTTACCTGACTTTGACTGGGTTAGGCTGGGTTTGATTGGTTGGTTGGTTGGTTGGTTAGTTGGTTGATTGGTTAGTCGATGGCAGCAGTAGTATTTTCCACAACTAGTCTATAGGGCGGTTTATATATAATCATAAAAATTTTTAATTGTTATAAAGACCCGAATTTTTAGCACATTTTTTAAATGTTCTTGTTCTTTTTATTGCTGTTTAACGTCACTAACAGATACCCTTGCAACAGTTGTCTATTGGATGAGGTGGTTTAGTATGGTGTAGTTTGACGAGATTTACCTGGGCTTTTATGAGTCACTTGATAATGGATACAGAATGCAGTTGTAGAAGGCCAAGGAAGCTATAGAATGTTGGCTGCGTATTGAATGTTTATATGCATACTTTGAGCAGTAATAGCTGTAATACTCATTATATTGATGAATTTTTAATGTATTTTACATTGCCAATTTTATGCGATTAACAAGATCAAGTATAGGCAACGTCAATGATTCTGTGATTGCAATAAAGTTATCCGTATTTAACTGAAATGGTTGAAAAAATTCGCAGTATTTTCACTATTTTTTATGTTGTTGTGTTTCTTTAGTTTTATTGAATTTGTCACCAATATTTATATTTTAAATAACGAACTTTTTTCTTGACTTTATTCGTAGACTGACGCTAATTGATGATAACATTTAAGGTTAAAAAGTTGGTAGTGGAATACTTATAAAAAAATTAAAAAAAAGCAACAAACGTTTAGTATATTCGAAAAAAGCAGTTAATTTATTGCGGATATTAAGTGAAGTTTTGTTGACGAATAATGTCATTATTTGACGGCTCCTGTACCAAACAGTTAACATATTTTGATGTCACCAAATGTATTGATAGTAGCACTAATGAACCAAATGGTGACGATGAATCGATTGCTGGTAAGTTATTGCTGTTAAAGAACAAGAAGAAAATTTGTCCTTATATAGCTTAGTTTTTCTGCTAATCAGTTGCTGTGTTGGCAGCAGCAATAGATTTTATATCTTTGTTAAAGTGATATTTCATTTTTGTTTTTTTAACGTTTATTTGTTTTAAAAATAAGCTGTTTACTTTCTTTTCTTGTAAAATTTTATCTTCAGTTTTTTAGAGCATTGAATTTCGCTGAGGTGAATGAATGATTAATTTTAGATTCCTGGGTTGATATCGCTCCATCACGAGGCTCCTTGTCAAGCACCGATGCAGCTGTGACTTTTGACGCGGATGCTCTACAACGAGATTTTAGCCGGGATAGGTGGGTATCTATTCGTGTTTGTGTTCATACATACAGAATGCTTTGTTATTTCTGCTATATTCTGATGTTTGAAAAAATTTTTGGTAAAATACTCGAATTGGATTTTTTGTTATTCATCTAAATGAATTGTTCTGCAACGATAATTAACAAAGTCAGAATTTGTTAGTTAGTCGAAGTGGCTTTATATACATGTTTCATTATGCGTTATCTCTTCGTTTGTTTATTTTTTTTAGTCCGGTTAGTGTTCATAGTTCAATCATCGAATTCGAAGCTAATTTGGAGCAAGTAAAGTGTCGTCTGACAAAAGATTTGCCAACAAGAATGTCAACAGATTGGATATGGGATTGGAGTAGTCGACCTGAATGTGTTCCTGTTGGGTAAGTGCTGTGTTTTGATGTAGTTAATGCCGAATAGTTTCTATCGTTCTTTATAGTTTTTGAATCTGTGCATAACATTAGTTAAATGAGCAATTAACTAGTGAACTCTTATTTTTTTTAGGGATAAATTTGAACTTTTTTTACTTATATCATTTTGTTGTTCAAAAATCTCATGTTGTGACTTGACACATTTTATGTGATGTTAAAAGACATTTATGGATTTTAACTTAGCTAGGCTAGGCTTTTTATTTATTCAGTTTTTGTTGCATAGGTTTTAATCGTAGGGTAATGTTGGGAAACTAATAAGTGTTCTGTAAAGCGGTTAAACCCTCTGGTTATTACTCAATACAGTCATTGTGATGTGTTACGTTGTTCTATCTTTACTCAGCACCTCCGTATTGTCTGAATGGTAATGTTTTTTCAGGAGTCATAATCATCGTTCAGTGGTGTCTACACCGCCGAACAGCCTACAAGGCAGCAGTGTCGCATCATTTTATAGGTGTCAGGAGAAACAGTCGTTTACTCGATTACGGGTATTGTGTGGTTTGGTTTTCTCAAATTTCTTCACCTTCGTCATTGGTGCTGCAATCGGGTAAGTAACCTTTCTGCACGGCTTGCTCCACTTATTTTTTTTCTTTACCATAGTTCACTGGGAAATCTAATAAAGTAACTGTTTAGCTAAGTCTTCCCACTGTATATCGTCTCAAAAACTTCAATCAGTCTTCCATTTAACAGAACAGTCAGACTGCCTGTCTTTTCAGTACTTGCCTGTTGTTGGCCTCTAGTCTTTTTCAAACGATCTTTTTTAAACGTAAGCAGTTTGTTGTTGACAGGACAAACGTTTCAAACTTTTTTTCAGGTTTTATGTGTGTAAGCGAATAGTTCGTGATAAGAGGGACTATTGATGTTGTATTTTGTACGTCCCATATTTCTGTAACAATAAGGTTGAAAAGCTGTTATGCATCATCCTTCAATGCATTCGTCACCTCCAATTCTGTCGTCATCATCAGTCCAACCATTCACTCATTTTACCATCTGTCCGTTGTGGACTTAGTTCGACCAGTCTGATGACACAATTCGACCAGTCTGATGACACAATTGAGTTAGCAACTCAAAAAAAAATTTTGATTTCTGTGACACGTCAGCGATAGCCAGAGCTGCAGATAAACAGCATGGAAAACAAATCAGGAGAAGACAGTTTTTTTGATTTGTTTTTAAAGATGGTTTTATGTTTATCTTTATTGTACTAAGTGTTTTTTTTTTTTTTTTGTTTTGGATTAGGCGATTTACGCGTAACAATTTATTATCATTTCTGTATTATAACAAATTGCATGACAGTAAGTGCTGAACACATAAACTGTTTTTAGTAGAAAGACAGCTTTTTTCTTGTTTTCAAAATGTTTAACTGATGTATTTTTGGATGTAAATGATTTGATCTTACAAGTATTCTTTCTTTGCTTCACTGTAGTAATCAACATGCTGTTATAAAGTGTCAAAAAGTGTAAAAAACAACTTGTTTGTTTTGTTTCTGTTTATATGTATCATATCAATTTAGCCTTGTGCTCATTACCAGCACTATTGTGTACATAATTTATTTTTTTTCCTCTTATTCTTTTTACTTTGATTACATATTTGGATAGGAGATGGGATTTTATTGTATGAGGAGGATAGTGAAAGGAAGAAAGTCAAGCAGGATATTTGTTAAGTTGTTTAGTTTTTTGGAAACTTGAGGAATTCTCCAGCATATTCGCGCCTGTTCAGTTGTTCCAGTGCTGTATCATAACCTTTGATATTGATAAATACTATTATTCAGTCGGCTGATTTTTTACGAAAATGATCAGTGCTAGAATCATTTTACAATGTCATAGTCCGTGATTTAGGGTTGGATCATTGGTCGCTGACTACTAAGCCAAATAGATAGATGTGTGTCCATTGATGTTTTAGTTTTTTAAACAACTAACTTAAAATTTCTGTCAGTTTGAACAAAAATGCCAACAGAAATACAGACCCTATCGGTGGTTATTGTTTACTAAGTTATGCTGATTTTCTCAACAGTAATAAGTGTTATAACTGTAGGTACATCCTGGCACAAACTAGTTTTTATTATGGCTAGACTACATTCAGCTACAGTGGTGATTATGCAAAAATGTTGGAAGACTGAAGTCCTGAAAGTTGTTAATGTTGAATAGAAATATAGAACTAAACGGATTTTACTGTATTTATTTTGAGTGTGTATTGAGTTTCTTATGGTGGCTAGTTTCCGCTGCTACAGCTTTTCATGTGACAGCTGACACAGGGAAGAAATTTTTTTCAAAGTATTATAGGCCTTTGTTGAAATAGACACGTTCACTGGTTGTCATATGTTTGATCTTTTCATAGACGTTTGGCTCACGCCGTCGTAAAGTGTCAAGCTTAATACTGCTGAAAAAATTGTTGATATTTTCTTAGTTTTATTTCCTTATTTACAATCATTTTTTGCCGAATAACTGCTGGAAAATTATCTTTTCATCACAATTATTCTCCTTGTTTTTTATTTGTTTTTTGATTTTTATATTTACTGATCTCTAGCCATTTTTTGGTGTAGATTCAATGAATTATAAACAAAACGACGTACATAGTCGTAAAGTACCTTCGAAGTTGATTAGTATTCTTCCCACCTACTAATGAACAATACCTATTTAGTTATCATTTGATTTTATGATGACATTATTCGCTTCAAAACAGCCTGACGACTTTTTTTTTCAGTTTGAGAAAGAGGACAGAAGGTAAAAATTTTCTTTAAAGTTAGTGTTAACCAAAGAAGAAAAAAATCATCTGTGAAATGTAAAGCACCTCTTCGGAGCATTAACTGCTTTAGAATGGCTGATGAAACCTGATTCATGTTAGCTCATAGGATCTATTATTTTAATAATGTGGTTTCTGGTGGTGGCAAGATATTTTATCAACTTCTTACCTAGTGGTTACTAAACTTCTAGTTAGTTTTTTCGTTCGCAAAAAGTACTTTACATCTTATGGATAGGAGAGTGGTATTTTATTGGTCGCCAGCATGGTGAAAAAATTACCACAATGGGTCATGCTGGAAAACCAGAGATTTTTAGTCGTCAGATTAGAAAGAAACATTTCTGCAAGCTAAAATCAATTTGGCTTTGTTATGTATCTTCAGAAGTGTTGCCAAGGAGGTATTTTAAACCTTCTGCAAATATCTGTTTAGTTTCTAATGCTATAGTAACAAACCTTTTTTGTGGATAAACAGCACATCCAACGGGAATCGCAAGTGCGAAGCTGAAACGATGAAGTTCGTTAGGTGAGACGTTTTTCAGATAATAATAGACACTAATTACGCCAAAAGAATGATGGAGGAATTGGGCTAAAAATTTTGATGAATTAAAACTGGGAGCATACAAGAAAGCTGTTAATGTCAACTGCAGTGGTATATTTAGAAGCCGGTAATTGCGTTTGAACCATGCTTTTTTGCCAATATATTCCATGATTGCTGGTGTGATTACTGAAATGACATTAAAAATATTATGTTCGCTTTTCAAAATGAATCGTATCGTTATTTTTTAAAGTGTCGTTGCTTATACTTCTATACTTCGTCATTCTGTCTAGAAAGTCGATAATTTTTGTAATCAGGGAGGGGGGTGCTTCAACAAGCTCTTTTCCTTAAGCTTATTTACAAAAGAAGAGATACGGAGTAAGTTTCGTAGAAATGGGGCTTTTATCAACACTTTTATCATCAAAAATAAAACTGGGTAAAAATTTAGAAGAGTAAGTTGTCTTAAGGAAGCTAAAGTTATTATGAATAATTCAAAACTTACTTAACGGTGGTGCGACTAAAACTGTTCGAGAAATAAGAGTTTCTGTAATTGCCTTATAAGCAGCCCACTGAAAAACAATAATTTTTTTGTGTAGTTTAAAACAGTTATATAATCTTGTTCTGTGAAAAGAAAAAATTCAGCTTTTTTTTCAGATTATAGATTTAATCTTATTTTCTTGCCAAGCAGAACTATGGGATAATTCGACAGTGGTGTTGCCTAATTTAGAGTTATTTTGAATGTTCCTCGGAACTTTTCTTGTCTACAGTATTCTCATTTTATACGCATAAGATAAACTTATCTTTTTAAAAGTAAAATAAAGGTTGAAAAAGTATTTGAAGAAATCCTCTGTGCTATGGAGGCATTTGTGACTATGTAAGACACCGAAAAGAAGTTAGGTAATGAAGCTTGTAATTTTGCTGATTACCCTGGAAAGAGCAAGTTCGTTTCCATTTTCGTCCAAAACCATTACACCGTTTTTCATCTCGCTGTAATTCTTTTTAAACTTGGCTTTTTTAATACACATCATATTAAGAGTGAGGCTTTCAACTAAATGAATTTAATAAGTTTAAACTGAAATGACTGTTTGTTTAAAGTTAAGTAACAGTAAGGCTCAGACAGTATAGCTGTTCAGATTAATTTTTGAGTTAGAAGTTATATGAAACGTAAACTTACTTTTGCCTCATTAGAGGTAAATTGATGGCATTGGCTACTGCGACAGCGGTAAATGGTACTAAACGTTGTACCAGCACTGGTGCTGAGATCTAAACAGGTTGATTTGCAGAAACCGCCGTCTGCTTACTTTAGGTCTTGGGAATAATTCCAAAGTATATCACTTTTTCTTTTTTGGACTAACGATTTATAGGTTGAACGTGAAAACAAGACAATATTTACAACAAAAAAGGCTGGAGTAGCGTACGTTCAATATTTTGACCACGATGTAGCGTTATGCTTTTTCTGTAGAATGTAATCATATCATCTTCAAAATGTTTCAGGATGATTTAGAAGTGAACCATTTAATTGTTAAAGTTTTAGGTAAATGTTTTGTAAAAAAATATTTACAGCGTCGTACTTTAGCAAAGTAATTCTTCAATCCAACGGCCACTCCTACAGCTCCGGTCACCGCAGACGTATATGCAACCAGCAAATCTCTGAAATTATCATCTGCTTTGCACAATAAAAGTTTGCTTAGGTGAAAGCAACAAACAAAATGTTTCTCTTTTTAATCTTATAAACTTAATATAAATGTTCAAAAAAGTAAAATACTTCGTGGTCATTGGACTTTTAGCATTACGGTTAGTATAATTCAAGATGGCGCAAAACGACTGATTAACCCACTGCCAAAAAACAACTGCAGATGTTGATCTAAAAAACTGGTTGGAGTATTTTTACATAAAACGGCTTAAAGTTATCCAAAGAGTATAAATGCGTTTTTGTGTATATAAATGATAAAGTTTAGATGAAAAGCAATGCAATGAATAACAGAAAAGAAAACTGGAATAAATCGGTCTCTATTCCTGACAATTTTTTTGATATTTTTATTTTAACTCATATAAAACTTACCTATACCAAATAAGCATAGCACCAAACAGAACTGTACCACCGGGTACCTGGAAACACATCCGGCCAAGAAGATTTTGCAGTTCACCGGTATCTGGGTGAAATGCTGATCCATAAAAAGCCTGAGCACGATAGATGTCTTTTAGCGTAGTACCTTTTGGTTCCTCACCTTTTCTGAATTACGATTACTTTCGTCTCTTCAAGAGATCTTCTAGTCGCTCTTTACAGTTCTTTTATTATATTGATGTAATTTTATACTTGCAATTAAAAAAATGTAAAAAATTTTTTTTTATGGAGAAGAAGTGAATTTTTAAATCAACTGAATAAGCAGTACAACAGAATGGTTTGAAATGTTGATGATAATTCTACATACTTGTAAAGCTCTAAAAGTTTTTTGCAGTCATACAAGGTTTGTGGTTTAGCAAATATTTTTGCCGGGTTTGTAATGCTGGCAAAGTGACGAAGACGTCCGTAGAAGGTGCTTTGATCCCATCTGAACGACGACAACTCTGTTTATACCAAAAGTATTTTGCTTTAAAAAAATTTCAAAAAATTGTTTTTTTTTTTCAAATTAAACAGAATGAAGGATATGGGATTTCAACAAATATGTTCGTTGAAATAATGAATTGAACTGAACAAGGGCCACGATAAAGGATCTATTTTAAGAGAAGTTTTTTTTATACGCTTGTGCTGCAGTTTTAATTTTAGCAATCAATCAAATTGTCAAATGTTTTTAAAAATCTTTCAGAGTGAAATAAATATTTTTTTTTTGTGAATTGTAAAAAATTACAAGTTTTCTTTTTTGGTCAATGATTTGATATTTTCAGTCTGTTATAATGCATGTTATTCATTGCAAATCATATATGGCTCTTTCTCCCTCCCCCACAGTCTGGAAAAAAAAAGTTTTTATGATAAAAATAAAATCTATTTTATGTTTGCATGTAATTCTGTTGCTTTTAACCTTTATCTTTAAAAACGAAAAAAAAAGAAAAAAACGGTTTTAAAAGTGGCAAGTGAAGGAAAGACGACATATGTTAAAAGAAAATTTCACTTTGCTATACCGAAGTTATCAGATCAAAAAAACTAACATTGCCATAAGAAAGTATTATTAGCGAGAATATGTGTAATGTATAAATTTATGTAGTATACCAGTAAAGATAGATCACCTTAATTTTCTAGAGCTTTTCTTTTGTTTTTTAAGAAAAACAGCATTGCCAAAACTTTACCTTTTTTTATGTTTTTAATGGAAGGGTACATAAGACTGAAAAACAGTCGTTTATCGTAGATATAATAATGAAAGTTGAGTGTAAATAGAAGTTAAAAAAATTACTACAGTTTTCCTCATGAACATCGTTGTTATCGATAGGTAACCGATGCTACCGTGAAAAAAAGTGTGATTCGAATTAGTCGATTGCTTGTTGTCGAAATATAAGTATTTTCTGTGAAATAGACAATTCAAGCAAAGAAGTTGGTTTGAATATCAGAAAATTTCGGCTTTTTTTTTTGTGAACAAAAGCTGATAGCTAGACTTCTATATTCAGTACCAGGTGAAAAAAGTCAAACATATTGGTTCTGATTGCATAAAGTGTTCAATTAAACAGTTTACAAAGATTTTTTAGTAATTTTTTCAGTGCTGTATTGATTTTTTATAAATTCTACGCTGTGTTACACTTCAGCTACAAAACGAGCTCATTTGTTACAATTCTAATCATCTATCATCTCTTGCTCCCAGTAATCGTTGAAAAAACAAGCAAATCATTGTAGTTTGTTTGCAGGTGTTTATTAAAACGAGGGGTAAGAAAAATGTAGGAAAGATAAAAAGAGGATAAGAGCAAAAAAAATTGACAGTTAAGGGGTTGCATAAAAGGAGAAAATAAGAAGAGAAAAACTGAACAAAAATAAAAAACCTTGGTTCATCAACATTAATACGCTTTAACTGATTGTCTGACATTTGTTACTGTATACCAGGGCAATGCAGTGATCGTAAACGATGATTTAATGTTGAGTGACAGCTAAAAAGTAACCACGTTTACAAATTAGACAACTTTCGTGATGTTGCCCAGTAAAAAAGTAGTTTCCACAAACTAACAACACCAAATATGGGTGATTATCACAAAAAAAGTAGGAAAAAAAACAATTTTGATTGCCACCTGTAGTGTGTGATTTTAATAAAGAAAAACTTAGAAACCGTTATAGGCTTCCAAAGGTTAACTTGACATTTTTCAATTCAGGCATAAATTCCACTCGTTCGTCTTCAGCCTTTCAAGTGCAACCAGTGATTTTTTTTTTTTTTTTTTTTT